TGCGCTCACGTCCAGTCGTCCAGCATCCCGACACGCACCGGGCTGCCCGCTCGCGGCCCTCTGTGCTCAGAGTCGGGGTCCCCCTTCAAGCCCCCCGTTCACTCAGGCCTCGAGTGCCTCACCGCCCGCCCCACCCGGCCCACCCCACGCGGACCCGGGGCCGCGCCCGTCACCTGGCAACGACTCGGCAAGATGGCGGAGGAGGCGCGCGCAGAGAACCCGGAAGTCCCCGCGAACTACATTTCCCGCAAGCCCCTGCGCCCGCGTCACGTGCCGGAGAGGACGCCGTTAATTCTGGGCGGTCAGCGGGCCGCGAGGGAGGGCAAGTGGCGGCTCGACCCCTTCGGGCTTTTGAGCGCAGACAAAAACCTCCACCCGGGGCAGCGGAGAGAGAGAAGTGATTGGGAAAGGACACAGGTTTCCCAGACGCCTTCAGGAGGCTGAGCTCTGGGGTGGATGGCAGCGGAGCCCCAGGGCTCATGGCCCCTGCAGCACTTGCTGCGCCAGGGAGGCTCCTGGAAGCCACTGCCCAGCACCGGGAGCAGCTGCGCCAGGACGGGACGGCCAGGACGGGAAGAGGCAGAGGTGGCATGTAGCCCTCCCCGAACCACGGAGGGGGCAGTGGCTGGGTAGTCTGCTACCCCAACTTTCCCCTCCTGGTCTCTTCACACCCCGACACCCTTCTTCCCCTGCCCCCGACTGTCTGCCCCAGCAGCTCTGAAGAGCTGGCAGCGCTGGGGCTCCTGCTGAAACCGAGCCAGCAGGAGAGGCTGGGGAGCAGGAAGGCAAGGAAGGGTCTGCTGAACCGCAGGGATGCTGTGGGAAGGACTTTCTGGCAGGTACAGCCAAGCCAAGGCAGTGGCGGGGTGTGGAGGGGCAGGTACACAGGTATGTGGAAAACGGAGATCCAGGCCTCAACCCCAAATCCCTGCAGGCCAACCCCAAACCACCAAGTAGGGCCTCCTGGCAAATAGGACCTGCCCTGCCTGAAGCTCCTTGCATGGAAGTAGGGAAATTAACATTACTTTGACACAAGTGACAATGGGTATGTGCTGAGGGGGTGGGAATGGTTTGACCAAGACACTGCGGCTGAACTCACTCTGCCTCCCGTGGCGTCCACAGAGGACGCTGCTTTCCAATGGGGAATCTGCTCTGCTCAGCCCAAATGGTTTCAGGCCCCCGGGCCCAAGGGTTCTGAGAACCACCCTCCCACCCCCATTATTGTTTCAATTCCTTACTCAGATCTGGACTACACAGAACCGCAGAAGTCCCAATAAAGACCAAGGTGGGGGGGTCCCCCCCAAGTCTGTTCCATTGCAAGTCCCCACTAACTAGCTGAGAAATGTCACCAGAGGCTGCCCACAGAGTCAGTCTCGTGGACACTAACACATGACTGTGACCCCTGTTGCAGGAACACAGCATATCAGAGCTCCTCAGGACTATCATGAGCCTCAGAGCCTGGTCTCAAACCCACTGAGACACAGCCACCCTGTCAAGGGGGTGAGGGCCTAGTCACTTGCGCTCCTGTTAAAACACGGTGAATGCTGTACAGAGATGCCCTCTGGAAAGCTCTCACACCTTGTAGCCAGCTAGTCACAGAGGCACATTCTCCCTGTGACCCAACCCAACAAATGCCTTCCCTGTTCCACCCAGGTCTGGTCAACAATTTCACCCATCAGTGTGGTAAAAAGATGGGACAAGCCACACAGTTCACACTATGGTTCTGGGTGTCTCAGGCCTTGGTCAGGAACCTGGGTCTTACTCCTGCCAAACACCTTAGCACTGTGAAGCCTACTGGAATTAAGCAGCAACAAACAAGATGAGATTTTCACAGACATTCTAATTGCGTAACTTCCGCATCTAAGACTGTCAGTCATAACTGAGGTACTCTCCTGCTTCTGCAGACTTCGTCAGAGTTAAAAGAGCTGAGCTCATGGAAGCTCACACTCGAGCACTGCTGGCCCATAACCACGAAGACACTATTTCTGTGCAGTGATACAGGAACTGCCCCAATTTCCATGAAAATTGGGCTGTTCTTTTGTGTAAATACACAAACCAACTCTAAAACAGACATGAAAACCCAAGGTCCAACAATATCTAAGGAGGCCATTGCAAATGAGAAAGGATGGTATGTCTACAGGTATGAAAATACTTGTCAAATTCACAGGCCTAAGACCTCATGATAGTGACAGAAACAAGTGACACAAAGCCCCAGAAGAAACCAATGTGGCCCACTAGTGAGTGGTTACACGACCCCATTCAAATTTCCCAACACTGACGTGACAAACAGATGTAAGGAGAAAAGGGGGTAACATTTGTGCTTACATCCCATCTTACCAAAACAATGTATTTTTAAGCACCCCAATAGGTTAAAGCACAGGACTATGAAGCTAGCCATAACCACTTCAGCGTGAGTCCGATCCCTGGCCAGGGAGTGACCCACAGGGCACAGCAGACCTCTCCTGTCTCACCAGCTGCACGTCAGTCAGCCTGTTCTGTTCCCTATTTTGTCTCTGGTGAATGCTCTCACTGCCACTGCACCTCTGGCCTGTACCCCAGTTCTGCATGCATAAATAAAAAAAAATTTTTTTTAAAGTATCTTTAGGAATTTTCATGAAAAAGTTTGAGTTTCTGTGTGGGGTATCAAGTTTCTCCACATAAACAACCACTGAGGAGACCATGCCTCCACTCAGTAAGTCTCTTCTATTATTCCGTCTTCTCCAATAACCATATAATTGAGTTCAGCCCTGACAGGATTTTGTGGCCATGGCAAAGTTCTTCTCTATCAGGCAATGAAGTCCTGAATCCCAAGCACTTCCTGTGTCCTCTCACTTCCTACTGCTGTCACCCTGCCCCAGCACTCCAGGGCCAGTGACCACAGAACACAAGGACAGCCTCTGTGGTGCTCACTTTAGACCATCCTTGCACACTGGCCCAGCCTCACTTCCCTCACCACCCAGTCCAGCCAAAGCCGGCTGAGTGAATCTCCACCAGGCCTGGACACAACTGACTACAGCTGCGTGGAGACAAACAAGAGCAGGCCACCTGGACCCACTCCACCCACAGCTGAGACGACGTAAGTCATTTCGGTAATTTGGCTTATTTCACTGGAAGTCAATCTGAAGACGTCTGGTGCCTACGGGGTGCTACGTTAGCAAATCGAAGACACGTGGACTGGTTTTGGGGCCCAGTATCAGGGGAAGGCTGAAAGACAGCTAGAAAATTGTGGAGGCTAAAAGAAAAACTGTCCCAAGTTGTGCCCAGGTGAAAACCGTGGCAACTACTGACTAGACCGCTGACTAGACTCGGCTGTCAGCGGGACGTACACAAGGCCCGGCGCCACACTGGCCATCTGAGCCAGGAAACTTTAACAGACAGAATGAACTAGGACGGCTGTGGTTGACAAGTGAAGGCAGAACTGTGAGGCGCAGAGAGTAGTTTCTTCCCCAGCAGCTGAGGGCAAGAGCATGAGGGGACCCCAGGAGAGCTGGAATTCAGACTGGAGGCTTGGCTGTCCCAGGAAAAGGGTTCTTGCCTCCATCAGAGGGAGGTCTGGCGCGGGGGCGCGTGACAGTTGTGCCACTCTGCCACAGCCCAAGCTGCGCGGAAGGACAAAGGTCAGCAATGTCCTAGCCTCGCCTGTCCCCATCTCCCCTTCACAGATGCTGACAAATGACGTTTTCTTCTGAGCCTTACAGTCACTTTCAAGGTCTTTAAATGAGGAATTAGAACTGGGACCGGCCAGAAAAGGGGGAACCATGGCCCTGGCACCACACAGCGGAGCAAACTGGTGGTCTCGAAATTCCCGAGTCACACACCATAGGGAGATGAGTTAAAAAGTACAGTTCTATTTTAAAGACTGACTAAGGCAAAATAGAACAGGTAAAACCCACCGGGTTGGAAAACTTGCAGCTTTCTCCTAAGCTGCTCAAGTAGATTCTTAAAGTATGAAATGACCTTAGGTAAAGACATTCTGGACCCAGCTACCAGCAAAATACAGCCTGACAGGTACCGCCGGAGACTCTGAAGTCTCGCGGAGGCCTTCTCTATTTTACTCTCAATCCCAGGTAAGGTGGGTCTGTTCAGACTGGGGGTGTGGCGTTCACCAAGTGGAGCTGATTATAATCCAACCTATCAGAAATCCAAAGTGATTTTTAAATGCGTTAAATGCTTTTGCAATAAAGTTTTTGAACACTGAAATGAGTCCTCAGGGCAAGAAGTTGGACTGAAGTTAACTACAGAATCAGGCTAAGTCCGGCAGGAAAGGGAGGGCGACTCTGGGTGCGGAATGGAGAACCCGGAAGACCTTCCCGAACCACCTCACCCAAACCCACGCCTGGCTCGCTGTGTGATTTCAGGGCATCTATGCGCGTCACGTTTCAGGGCTTCCTGCTCCTTCCCTGACGATGAATCTGTTCACATCAGTCACTGCATTACCATTTGTAGGTGAAACTTTTCATTCACATTGCCTAAGCCACATTACAGATTCTGGTGAGAAACTAGGAAATCTGTTGAGAATTGTTTAAAACAATGCTGTGTTCAAAATATATCAGGTTTTAATTGATTCTTCTTCTTCAAGGTGTCTGCAGCCAAAGCATTTTGCTTTTGTTGAACTGTTTCTTCCTCTTAGTTGATTTTCCTGTGAAATCACAGAATGACAGCACCACCCGGCCCTTCCAGCGCCAGCTTCCTGCCCCTGGCTGCAATGTCTCACGGTGCCACACCCAGACAGTGACCATGGTCACCCGCGCTGCAGAGATCAAGATGTATGGAAGCACGCAACAGAGAAAGTATTTATTTCTCATTCAGGAAAAGCAGAAATGGAAACATCTGCAATAACAATGCTGGCAAGCCCCTGCTACAGCTCCCCAACCTCATCTGTCTTAAGTCACGATGCCTTGGCCCTGTGGCTTCGAAGGCAAGCCAGGGAGTCCTTGCACTCCAGGGCCACAGGACATATGCCTGCAAACTCTGATGGTCGTCTGAGGCCTGGCTTAGAAGTGGTCCTGTTCACCTGTGTACAGTCTCCAGGCCAGAGTTCAAGTACAAGGTCACATGGCTAAGGGAGGCTGAGGAATGCAGAATGTTCAACAGAAAAATGAGTTTCTGTGAACACATAGCAAATATCTGTGACAAAGATCTACAGACCTGTGTGATTTCTCTCACATACAGTGCTGTCTTTTTTAAAGCTTACCCGACATTTCTTATGTTGACAGGCTGTCTCTCCTGTGTGGGTTCTCTGGTGTTTAGAAAGGGATGACTTGTAGTAGAACGTTTTCCTACATTCTTTACATTCATAAGGCTTCTCTCCTGTGTGACCCCTCTGATGAATAGTGAGGGCGGACTTCAAGGAGAAAGCCTTCTGACACTCTTTACACTCATAGGGCTTCTCTCCTGTGTGAATTCTCTGATGTACAGTGAGGGTTGACTTCCAGGAGAAAGTTTTTCCACATTCTTTACACTCATAGGGTCTCTCTCCCGTATGAGTTCTGTGATGGACAGTGAGTAATGACTTCCGGGAGAACAACTTCCTACATTCTTTACATTCAAATGGTTTCTTTCCTGTGTGGGTTATCTGATGCAGACGAAGAGCTGACATCCAGGAGAAGGTTTTTGAACATAACTTACATTCATATGGTTTCTCTCCTGTGTGAGTTCGCTGATGTTTGCTGAGGTAGGACTTATAGCAGAATGTTTTCCTGCAAACTTTACATGCATAGGGTTTTTGTCCACTGTGACTTCTCTGATGTACAATGAGATTTGCCTTCCGGGAGAAAGTTTTCCTACATTCTTTACATTCATAGGGTTTCTCTCCTGTGTGACTTCTTTGATGTTCTGTGAGAGCTGACAGCCAAGAGAAAGTTTTTGTACACAATTTACATTCATAGGGCTTATCTCCTGTGTGAGTGCTCTGATGTTTAGTGAGAGTTGATTTCATGTAGAATGTTTTCCTACATTCTTTACACTCATAGAGCTTCTCACCTGTGTGAATTCTTTCATGTTTAGTGAGGTCTGACTTCCAGGAGAAAGACTTCCTACATTCTTTACATTCATAGGGTTTCTCTCCTGTGTGAATTCTCTGGTGAGCAGTGAGGCCTGACTTCTGTGAGAATGTTTTTCTACAATCTTTACATTCATAGGGTTTCTCTCCTGTGTGAGTTCGCTGGTGTGCAGTGAGGTTTGACTTCTGAGAGAAAGTTTTCCTACAGTCTTTACACTCATAGGGTTTCTCTCCTGTGTGACTTCTCCGATGCCTAGTGAGGGCTGACTTGTAGTTGAATGTTTTTCTACAATCTTTACATTCATAGGGTCTCTCTCCTACAAGAGTTTCCTGGTGTCCCCTGAGGGTTGAGTTCTCAAAGGCTTTCTGACAGTCATAATCTTTCTCACCTGTGTGTATTTTCTGATGTTTAACGAGACTAGACATCTCATAGAACGTTTTCCCACATACCTCACAATCAGGAGTTTCCTCACCTAACTGAGTCCTCTGAAGCTCACTGAGGTGTAATTTGTCGTTGAAATAATCCCCATGCTGGCTACATTTATGACATTTACCTTCAAAAATTCTACAGAGATTCACCTGTGTTGGTTTCTCAAAAAAGGTCTTCTCCCATGTGTTACACCTACACTGAGTCTCCCCTAAGTGGGTTATATCTTGGGCAACGAGAGCTGATTCTTCACAGGTTCTCCCAGATTCGTCGTATTTACAGGCAGTCTCTCCCATGAGAGCCCTCCCATGGATAAAGAGTACCTCCTCCTTGCTGAAGGCTTTCCCTTGTCCACTGAATTCAAAAGGCTGCTGAAAAGGTCGAGTCACCTGATGGAGACCTGGGTGCTCAGTGAGTCTGAGGGGTTTCCCAGGAGTATTACAGCTCTCAGGATTCTCTTCAGGGAGGAACATGTTTTCATGTACATGAAGACCCTCAGGCATCATTCCTGGGTCATTTCCATTATTTATAATCAGATCTGGGATAGGGACTGAGCTCAAATTAAATATTTGTCCCAAGTCAGTGATCTCCTTACTTGATGTTCTGCAGTTGGTGACAAATTCCCACAGATGTCTGCCCTGATTTTCCCGATTGGTCTCAGTTGGTTCATCCAGAGTGTGGACATCTAATGTGAGATTAGAAAAAAAAAATCATATCTGTGAAGCACATCTAAACATTTCCTTTGAGATGCTGCTGCTGTAAATATCAACAAATTTCCTTCAATTTAGTACCATACGATTTTAAATAATTAGTAACTGGTATGGATTTGCTGATACATGATTTTAATCCTTAGTGAGTTATTATATTAATGTAGCCTAACATCAAATACTTTCTTTTTGCTACCTTTTTCCTTATCTGTTCATGAGCAAGTACCTGTCAATGCACTCAGATACACAAGTCGCAGTGCTCAGCAGAGACTCACACGCTGTCTGCGTCCCCTGCACGGTCTCTGCGTCCCCTGTTGCAATGACTCCCTTGTCCTGGAGCCCCACCTTTCTTTAACCCTGAAGCTATGGATATGGCATGATCTGCCTGGAGGAGCTACGTACCGGGTGTGGGGCGGTCCATTTCTGTTTCCTAAGGACACCAGGAGGACCAGGAGGTCAGGGGATGAGGATTCACGCATTTAGCTTTTAGTCTGTCCCCTCTGCGGGGCATGACTGTAGGCGCTGGGGGATTTCCCAAAGGCGCCATCAGCATCCCCATGCTATATAAAACCAGCATCTTACAAATCCCAACTGAACACTACACCACGGCTCCTCAACACATAACAGGCTCTCTCGTGGCAGCCCTTGGCGACTCCCCCAGGAGGTCAGCTGCTGAGACTCCAGCTGTGCCCACAGTCTTGGCAGAGCCTCTTTCCAGATCCCTGGGACCGAGGCCCCAGTGTCCTCACCCGCTTCTTGACTACAAATATTCATACTTAATAATTCATTGCTTGAAACTTTTGCCCTATATTTTCGAGTTCGGATGTCTCCCACGTAACCTGAAGCTGGAGCCTGATAGATGTTCCTCATTCTTCAGTATGTCGGTTTCTTCACTTTCAATGATTCTCACACAGAGAGAGGGCATGCCAACATGACCCTCTGCTCCCAAAAACTGAGGCGCCAACCTTGAACTCCATTCCGCTGCCCCAGGATCCACACCGCCTACTCCCGCTGCCCCCAACCACCACCCCCTCAGGGAGGGAAGCAACTGCTGGGTCCTCCTCAGAGGCAGGTGTCTCACGCTGTGTCCCAGGACCTTCACCCACTTCCTCAGCAAGTTCCCAGGTAACCCCTCTGACACTGCCGCCCCCACTCCCCGGCTGCACCTCCAACAGCGAGGCATACCCCACTCTTGGTTATACGCACACCAGAGTATAAAACAAGTACCTCAAGCCAAAGTTTTTTAGCAAATAAAAACACTTAGTAATCTCCATAAATGTACTTTCCTAGCACGTTTCCTACGATACCTTCATTCCTGTCCCTCATCCTGGCTAATCATTCTTTGCGGCTCTTCATTTCACAGCTTTAGGAATATGTTTCATTTTCCCCTCTCAATAGGATACAAAGTCTATAAAAAGTGCATTTCTTTTGCTTAGTGAGATAAGCCAGAAAGAAAAAGAAAAATACCAGATGGTTTTTTGCTCATAGCAGGAGTATAATGGAACAGGCGAGAATAAGAATAACGAACAGCCATATACCAGAGACATTTTGTGGGGGTGGAGTGGGGAATGGGATCAAAAACGGGCGGGTGGGGGGACGGAAGCGCACTGGACTATGGTGATGGCACATGGGTGACTTGGTGATGGGAAACCCATGGGGATTACAATTGAGATAAAAAAAAATGTACAAAATGATGTAAAAATAAACTATTATATATAAAAAATGGTAATAAATAAATAAGCAAAAAAAAAAAGTGCATTTTTTTTTATTACTGTGCTATGTCACAACTACAGAAAGGAGCAGTGGCCAAGAAGTCTCCCTGCTAGTAGGCTGGCAGAATAACCAGCTGTGTGAGTAAACGCTGGAGGGAAACATCAACAGGCTAGGAACAGAAATGGAAGGGACGGAGCATACAGTCCATCTGCCCATTCTGCTCCCCATGCTGTCTCTGGTGAATCCTCTCACCCCCACACCTCTGGCCTGTACCCCAGTTCTGTATGCATACATAAATAAACCTTAAAAAAAAAAGAAACTGAAAATATATACAGCAGGTAAAAAAAAAGTGGGGAATGTGAGCTAGCAAGAGCCACGCCGGGGACTGAATACTTAAGTCTGACACGTGCAGCCTCGGGTGTGTCTGGACTTGGGGAAACAGAACATGCCCAGCACCCATAGCTCTGGGCCCTCTCCCAGCTCCCTGCCGCTCAGGCATTGACTGACCTGACAGCCTCTGGTTTGGGGGTCCTTCCACAGTGCACGGGTCTGCTCCTTGCTCCAACCTGATGATCACCTCGGGCTTAGCAATGCAACGCCCTGGTGATGAGAATGAACAGGTCTTTTGCCAAACTGGTAAGTTTCATGGACTGTGAAGAATAAGAGCTTATCTTTACAGGTTATTCAATAAAAGGCTAACTTGGATCTTTGGTTAGAGACATGAATTCCACATTCTTTTGTGGACATCTGAACCCTAAATAGCATGTATTTCACATAATCACCAAAGAAAAGAAAGTCTACACTGGCCAGTTACTATGGAGTTTGGCTCACCCAGGGACGCCAGGTTCCCATAGGTCTCCAGCATCACGTCCCTGTAGACGGTCCTCTGAACATCGTCCAGGGCCTGCCACTCCTCAGAGGTGAAGCTCACAGCCACGTCCTCAAAGGTCACCATACCCTAAAATGACACATTTCTCAATTCAAATCACCTGCTTGGGTCAGAAAACAGGGTCTGAGAGTTTGTTGTCTTGTGTGAGAAATACACCATTAACAGTGAAGAACTTTTAAAAGATCATGTCAGGAAAAAGGAAATCTCAGCATTTATAATCTTTTGCCATACTGCATCCCACTTCCTTATCTGTGGAGAAAAACCTATGACCATTCACTTAAAGAGTGGCACCTGTAAAAATACCCTATGATTTGTATAACTCAGAAAAGCATTTAGGAGATTCTCCTTAATACAGTACCTGCAGGGCCCCCTGGTGGCACAGGGGTTATGTCTCGCGCCAGTAGCTAACACCAGCCACAGCCACAGCAGCCTGAGTCCAATCCCTACCAGGGAGTGAGCCACCGGGCCCCGTAGATCACACTTGTGTCCCTGCTGCTCCCCTCAGCAGTGGATTTTAGATTTTATTAAAGAAGTAAAAAGCAACAGCAGTATTTATTATATGAGGTTGCTCCAAGGAGGCAGGAGTTAAGAAATGCCCGTGTTGAGGTTTGAATCACTGGCTGGGAGGAATTAATACTTTATGTAAGGACAGAACCAGGATGTGGCTTTTATTTTGGACTTCCTGAGCTTACTCCTTGGGCACTAATGGAAGCAATTACACAGCGCTGGGCCACTGGTGGAAAGGGTGGTAAGGAGCCCCAGCTGGATGGAGCAGCCAGGTCTACAACCCGAGGGCTGACTCGGGCAGGGAGACGTGCACTGCTAAGATGGGCCCAGGTTTCAACACCAGGTGAGCTGTGCAGGAGCACAAGAAACAAGAATTCAGGGAAACAGGGAAGAAATCAAAAGAGATTGCGACAAAGCTAATAGCCAGAGAATGTCCAGGACAGGACCACGACCACAGCGTCACACGTGGCAGGACACTACATTGAAACAGAGCAGAGAACAGTCGCTGACCAGACTCTAACCAAGGGCAGAGGTGAGCTGTATGAGAAGTGGAAGCAGACTCCATTTCATCTCCGTGGGATGGTGGAAGAGCAAAACAGCAGCGGAAGCACTGCCAGGAAAAACACCCTAGAAGAGTCTGCTGTGCACCTGCATGTACAGGCCCGCTAACACTCGGTCCTCTAGTGTCCCACGTGTGAGTCAAGTCAGGAGGTCCAGGGCCACACACTCCGGCAACTCCGGAGAAACCTCACCCAGGGGGCACTGGCATCAGAGAACCATCACCACCACGCAAGGCCGTGTGTACTGATTTCCAGACTGTGATGAGACACTGTCCTGGGATCTGCGTGGTCAGCAGAGACGCTGCCTCCCACTGGTGTGCCTGAGAACACAGCCTGCAGCCGTCCAGGTGCCCGCTCTGTCCAGGTAACAGGGTGTCTTATCTTTGGAGCCCGCTCTTGGGTAGACAGAGACAATAGGCGCTCTGCCTGGATGCCTGGGAGGTGATGGCCTGCCTGCTCTACACACCACCTTAATATTTATGTAAATATCCATGAAAAGGAATGTCTCCTACTTTTATTTTTCATTTGAATTTATAAAACCTCATAGAGTGCAACATAAAGAAAGCTGAAGGAAAAAAATCATTGGCTCACCACTGACTTAGTCATTGTCTCCTGATCTTAGAAGCACTGAAGACTGCGGAAGCTGAGCTGGGAGCGAAGGTGAATGGAGCCGCATCCGCGGGAGCTGCTTGCTCCGAGGTGCTCGAGGGCAAAGCGCAGCACACATCAGCGAGGAGAGAAGAGGCTTCTGAGAGGCAGTGATGGTCTTTACACTTTCAGAGGCTGCAGGAAAGGACCCACAAGAACAGTAATGGGTAGATCTTAAACTTAGCCTTAACATGATGATGTATGAACATGTGACGCTAAGAACAAATTTAAAATTTTGAAAGAATGTACTTACAAAATATCTGTGGCCCCAGAGGTTAGAGAAAAGTTCCACATTTTTGGTTGTATGCTGTCCCTATACAGGCTCCCCAAAATTCGCTTCCCTGGACTTGCTTCCTCGTGACGGCTTCTCCAGCAACGAGTGGGTACTGCCATCTGGCTCGCTTTAACCGAAGGGACATCAGCAGATGATGTACAGCATGGAAAGCACTTTTGTCCCTGGGGTCAGCGTGCTGGGGCCGCTGTCATCTTGTGAGGACACCTGCTGTTGGGGGCACATGGCTTAGGCAAGAGCCAAAACAAATCAACAAAGTTGTTCTCAAAAACAAACAAAAACAACCAACAAGAAACGAGTGTGGGTTACACAGCAGCAAGTGGTTCGTGTTAGCCAGAGTTCCAACAGCCTGAGGTAGGCTGGCAGAATACTGCAAGTTACTTTCATCTTCCTATAAGGCACAGATACCCTGACAAGCCCTCCTGAACTAGGAAGAACAGTCAGTAAAGAGGGAGGTCCAACATCATCTTTACATACCAGCTTACACAGCAGATTAGTTCCCAGAGAGGTCAGATTCTGGAAAGAATGAGCGTGAAGAAATTGTGTGTTTGGAGGGAATGAGATGCCCCTCCACCCGGGGGGGGCCCTTAGCGCCTTCCAGCAAGTCATGTTTTCTAGGTGTTTGCCTACCCTCTCCAGAAACTTGATCCAAACTTCAAATACCACCATCTTTCACAGCTTGTGGAGGAGATGGCATTGCCCAAACCGTGCTCAGTCTGAGCGGAAACTGCAGTACTTACTTAGCTTTGCTAAGGTAGGATCTCCTCTCCGTGAGCCTCTGCCTCTGCCGCAGTGCTAGATAGAGGGATCAGGCTTGAGGGTTTCCCCTTCATGCAGGTTCTTCTTCACACGCCTGTGCTGCCTTTCCAGGCTTCCTCACAGCTAACTACCTGTCAAAAGAAAGCAGGACCATCACCCAGAGGCCAAATGGGGCCCTCCTAGAATTCAAGGTCCCTGGAAACCAGGTCTTGTAGAAGTTTCCAAAATGAAACTGAGGGTGGAAGACAGGTACCCAGCGCAGGAAGGGGCCTTCATACACACTCCAGCAGACAGTCCAAGAAACCCCACAAATACAACCTCGCGCTAGGCTAGGAGTAGGCGTCCCAAGGATTTCACCTGGAATCCGGGCATCTTACTAGTCAGTAACATTTCGTCTTACAGATGCCCAACCGTGAGATACACAGGTCGATCACCTCGCCCAGCCGGATTCCCGGCAGAGCAGAACTCAAAAGCAGACCAGGGTTTCTCCCTGCAGAAGCATCCCACCCTGCCGGGCATCCCAACGTAGGGCTCCAGCAGCCAGACCCAGAAGCTTCGGAAAGCACACCCGGCCGCCTCCTGCCGTCTTCCCTGAGGGGGCTTCAATGACGCACTCGAGCGCTGGCCCTGCCCGGTGGGGCCGAGGCCCTCGTGGGGCGGCCCGGGCCCTCGGCTCACACCGCACTCGCGTTCAGGAGCCGGACACCAGCCTCCGGCTCTCCCTTCTCACGCGCCCAGAGGCACTCGGGCCCCGCGTTTACCCCCCTTTCCACCTGGGCCCCAAGGCCCAGGCCTCCCCCACCCGCACCAGCACTCACCTCCCTCCCCCTTCCCGCGCCCGCTTGTCTCGACTGCCTGGGCTCCCGGCGCTCCCACGTCTGCAAGCACACCACCCACCTCGCCGCTTCTTCCCGGCGGTCTCCGAGCGCCCAGGCTGCACCCCCGCCCCCGACACACCTTCAGGATTTAACCCTGAGGAGCCTGAGCCCCCGCCGCGTAAAGGCCGCGCCAAATATGGCGGAAGAGGGGGCGGGTCGCGCCTGCGCAGAAGATGCCGTCTCAGCCCGCCTCGCAGGAAGCCACGGCAGCGCGGACTACATTTCCCACAAGCCTCTGCACCGGGGCCGTCACGATTCTTGGAGGAGCGTCCGGGCGTCTTAAAACGCGTCGAATTCCGGGCAGAGGTAGGTGCGCAGGTACACTGCGATTTCCAGGTGAAGTGTGAACCTGCCTCAAGTAGCATAAAAGGCTGGGACCAGAACAGAGGAGCTTCTCAGACTCACTTGCCTGAATCACTGCACACCTCCAAGTTCAAGGGGAAGGCGTCTTTCCCAGGCTAGTTCTGAGACTCGGGTTTGAGCAGTTTTCTGCATTTGAACAAAGGATTGATGAAGGCATTCAGCTGACCTCCCCTTGACGCGGGGCCTCGGGACCCACTTATCAGAAGTGAGGGTTCTTGGACTTAGCCGGGATAGATACCAGACGCCAGTCTCAGATTAAAAGAAAGCAAGGACGGTTTACCCGAGGGGGAGCAGGCTATCCCGAGGCTGGATCCTCTCGGTCACGATGTTGGGCACATTTATGGGAGGGGATGGTTGACATAGTGGAAACGGAATCCTCAGCTGTCCTCTGGCCCCGTGCGCCTTTGCCCCCCTTTCCACCCTGGCCCCAAGGCCCAGGGCCCCGCCATCCACACCAGCACGCCTCCACCTTCCCCGTGCCCGTTTGTCTCGACTGCCAGGGCTCCCTGGCACCTTGAATTCTAGGAGGGTTATTTGGCCTCTGAGTGATGGTCCTGTGATCTGGGGATTTCTGACATGGCCGCCTGGAGGTGCCTTTTAGCATGGCATTATAATTGCTGGTATTTTTAGGTTATTTTAGGGCCCCTCCTAGCTCCAGCCATCTCAGAGAGCTTTGGGGAGGATGGTTGTCTGGAAAGAGAGATTGACTTGTGTCTGAAAGACCATGTCCTGCTCTTTGGCAGAGAGCAGGGATGTTCATCTAGAATTACAAAGAAATAGAGTGGAGCAAGGATCAGCACCTTCCTCCTTGGGACACTGGCATCTCGCCAGCGTCTGGTGGTCAGCAGTTCTGATGTCACCTTCACAGTGAAGTTCTTTTCCCCTAGAATGTAAAAAAAAGGCAACCTGGAGGGCAAATACAGGAAGTGGGAGAGGTAGTCTGGTGGGACAGAGGGTGCTGCTGCAGTTGCTGGCAGTTGCCAGCAGCAAATGCCCTCTAGGGCCCTCCCTGGTGGCACAGCTGGTTAAAGCACAGCACTATGACGCTCTCTGCAGCCACTGACGCACGAGTTCGATCCTACCCAGGGAGCTGACCCGCATGGCTCAGCAGACCTCTCCTGGCCTGCCTGCTGCTCCCCTTAGCAGTGTGTTTTAGTACATCTGCCTGTTCTGCTCCCCGCTCAGTCTCTGATGAGTCCTCTCACTCCCTACATCTCTGGCCTGTACCCCAGTTCTGTATGTATAAGTAAATCTTTTTTTTTTTTTTTTTTAAAAGAGGGTTGTAGATGAGTGACTGGAGACAATGGGTTGGTTTTATCCAATTTTGTCAGATAAACATACATTTCGTCCCCGGCATGTTGACCTTTTGGTCACAAGGATGAAGATAAAATTTTTCTCAAGAATGCATTTTGCATTTGATTATTTTGTAGAAGAACTAGAGTGCAGGCCAGAGATGCAGGTGAGAGGAGTTACCAGTGACAGAGTGGGGAGCAGAACAGGTAGATCTACTGAAATCCACTGCTGAGGGGGCAGTGGGGGAGACAAGAGAGGACCATTGTGCCACATGGGTCAGCTTCCTGGCAGGGGATGGAATTCACGTTGTAGAGGTGATACGCTGAGACTTAACCCCTAGCTACAAAGGAAGCTGTATATTTAACTAATTTTCCAGCTCCAGCAAGGTACTGTCAACAACTTCCACATTTCTGATGATTTCCAGACATTTGTGTCAACTGGATACTTGCAGAAACTGGCAGTCTGCAAGGACTCTTTATACTTCTATTTGCTTTCCTTTTTTACTCTCTGGGCGAGCTGTGAACACACTGAGCTCCTCGCAGGGGAACTTCTTCTCGGGGCACCAGTCCTCAGTGTACTCTTCAAGTACTTCTCCCCTCTTGTCTCGTTTTCCCACCCCCACAAGTGCTTGTTGGGGGTGCTTCCCGGGAGTTCCTGTCCTAGACCTATGTTGAGGACAAACATACCCAGGACAGCAAGACACCCAAACATATATCAACAGCCTCTGCTCTGATCGGGCCAAAGACCAACAGAAGCATTGAGAGAAAAATCCCACCCATGCCAGGGAGAACAGCTGTCACAGCAGTTACCCCTCCGGCACACAGCACAAGGTGTGACACAATGCCAGTCACCAAGACACCCACTTCTGAGCCCACAATAAGCAGGAGCCCTGAAAAGTTTGATCAGTTCCCAAAACATACCAGGAAAGGGTTGGGAACCATGACAGCAATCCTCTCAATGTTAGCCAAGACTCTCAGCTTAGACGAGGGGTGTCATCCAACGAGAAAGTGTCACCCAGCCCTTCTATTCCTTGGATGACCCACCTGTGGGTATCTTACCTCTGTGCCAACATCTGCCTACAACTCAGGCCACTAAACATCAAAGCACAGTAACTGAGGGCAATCCAGGATACTAGAAACCTAAAATTCATTCCCAATGATAATGTTGAGAGGTGTTATATAAGGAAAAGAGGAAAATGAGCCAAATGTTTTTTTTTTATGTTGATTAGTATTAACAGAATTAGCCTTGGCAATTGGTTATGGATTCTCCAGAAAGGAGGAAGAGGGAAAGGAAATCTCAGATAATTGCTTAATTTTTTTTCATTTATTTAGAAAAAATACTGCTTGATACAGTTGCATCTGGTTTAGTTCAAAGATCTTCAACCTGGTGCACAGTTGCCCAACTCCATTTTAAAGACGAGTTGACAGATGTCACCTTTTAACCTGTGCCCAGGACCTGTGTTCAGGACAGGCAACTGGTTACTTTGGGTCATGCCTTTTAAGATTAAAAAACACCACACACAAGGAGCTCTGCAGAAGCCAACATGTTCACACACAATACAGATACACGAAACCCCAGATTCTGAGACAGCATTTGTGACGTTAGATGGGATCCTTGGTAGAGTTGCAAATGGAAGTCACATTCCCCCATGGCCAGAGTGGACCGTGTATTTCTGTAACTGCCAAAGCTGGTGACATTAACGTCCCATCCCCATACTATCCTGTAATGTGCCCTTGCAACAATCACACTGAGACAGACTCTATTCTCCACCCCTTTAAGGCCCTTCAACTGCCCTGAAAAATAGAAATGAAATTGACACTGGAGCGCAGAGCAATAACCCCTAGACATCAAATCACCCCATGGTCGCCAATCAAAGTTGAGAAATTTTTTCGATGTAGTATTTAACATTTCTTTCTTAACATTGTCCTCCAAATGACCAAAACTTCATGAAGAAAATCTGACTCCTACAGAGACATCCATAGATAGGTACGCTTGGAACTCTTGACACATGAACAGTATTTGAAAGGCCTGAGATGGCTCTCAGTGCGCAGTGAGCAGCCCCTATAAAGGCATTCAGCCTTGCTCCAGCTCTTCTGATGCTCTCTCTGAACTTCCATCAGTGGGCTGCAGATGAATGGTACCAACACAGGTTCCATCCCATCTGAGTTCCCTACACAAGGGCTGGTAAACTGATAGAGAGGCAGAAAGAATTCAATACAGAAAACTCATCCCTCGGGGTTGGTAGTGCTACCAAGTGACTACACATGAAAGGGCCAGACAAAGTATTTCTCGCCCAGGAAAGGGCAAGGGAGATGTCTGAGGTAGAGTGAGAGTGTGTGTTCCCCAATCCATCTCTTCTGTCCAAACATGAGCCATCTTCATGTTGACTCCCAAGGGAAAGCCTGGCACTCATTTGTACTTCAGGGTCACATGGCATTAAAAACTTACAAACATCCTGGTAAAAATGCTCATCATTTGTGTTCATTTTCTTCTGGACGATGCTTGGCCACAAGGTCCCACCCAAGATAAATGGAGGATGAGAAATGCAGGCTGTTACAGAACGAAAGCTTAACTTAGTGATCACTCACTCAGTCACACTCTGCCACACAGGACCGAGCCCCTCTGTGACTTCTGGGACAAAAAGTGAGGGCTCACTCATGAGAGAAATAGTTCTTACTTTATGCTCATAGGGCCTCTCTCCTGTGTGAATTCTTTGATGCCTATCCAGGGAGGACTTCTGGTAGAAAGTTTTTCTACATTCGTAACATTCATAGTATTTCTCTCCTGTGTGGATTCTCTGGTGCCGACTGAGGGTTGATTTCTGATAGAAAGATTTCTTACACTCTGTACATTCATAAGGCTTCTCTCCTGTGTGAGTTCTTTGATGTATAGTGAGCTCTGATAAGTAGCAGAATGTTTTCCTACACACTTTACACTCATAGGGCTTCTCTCCTGTGTGCGATCTCTGGTGCCTATTGAAGGACGACTTGAGGTAGAAAGTCTTTCTACACTCTTTACACTCATAGGGCTTCTCTCCTGTGTGCGATCTCTGGTGCCTATTGAAGGACGACTTGAGGTAGAAAGTCTTTCTACACTCTTTACACTCATAGGGCTTCTCTCCTGTGTGCGATCTCTGGTGCCTATTGAAGGACGACTTGAGGTAGAAAGTCTTTCTACACTCTTTACACTCATAGGGCTTCTCTCCTGTGTGAGTCTTCTCATGCACAGTAAGTCCAGACTTCCAGTGGAAAGATTTCCTACATTCTTTACATTCATAGGGCTTCTCACCTGTGTGAATTCTCTGATGCTTAGTGAGTTCTGACTTGGAGTAGAAAGTTTTTGTACATTCTTCACATCCGTATGGTTTCTCTCCTGTGTGAGTTCTATAATGGACAGTGAGGGTTGATTTCTGGTAGAAAGACTTCCTGCATACTTTACATTCATAGTGTTTCTCCCCTGTGTGTGTTCTCTGATGGACAGTGAGGGATGACTTATGATAGAAAGTTTTCCTACATTCTTTACATTCATAGGGTTTCTCACCAGTGTGAATTCGCAGATGGACAGTGAGTTCTGACTTCTGAGAGAATGTTTTCCTACATTCTTTACACTCATAGGGCTTCTCTCCTGTATGGATTCTCTGATGTACAGTGAGTTCTGACACATAGCAGAAAGTTTTCAGACATTCATTGCACTCATAGGGCTTTTCTCCTGTGTGAATTCTCTGGTGTCTATTGAAGGATGACTTGTGATAGAAACCTTTTCTACATTCTTCACATTCATAAGGTTTCTCACTTCTGTGACTCCTCTGATGTACAGTGAAGGCTGACTTCCAGTTGAAAGTTTTACTACATTCTTTACATTTATAGGGCTTTTCACTTGTGTGGATTATCTGATGTCTGGTGAGGGCTGACTTCCAGGAGAATGGTTTTCTACACTCTTTGCATTCATAGGGTTTTAATCCTGTGTGAGTTTTCTGATGTCTGTTGATGGCTGACTTATGACAGAAGCGTTTCCTACATTCTTCACATTCATAGACTTTCTCACCTATGTGTGTTTTCTGAGGTTTACTGAGCTTAGACAATTTATAGGGAGTATTACCACATACATTATAGTCAGACTTCCCCAACTGTGATCGCTGTAGGTGAACAAGGTGTAATTTTTTACTGATGTCATTGCCACTTTGATTACATTTTTGATGGTCTTCAAGATGAACTTTAGGAAGGCTTGATTTTGTTGGTTTTTCAAAGAAAGTCTTTCCCCATTTATTACCTCTACCAGAAGTCTCCTCTATACAGGTTCTCTTTTGGGCAGTGAGAACTGATCTGTCACAATCTTCCCCAAATCCATTACATTTAGAGGCAGCCTCTCCTGGCAGACTCAGAGGTGGGAATAGTTTGCTGCTGTTGAAGACTTTCCGTTTTTCACTGCTGTCAAAAGTCCGCTGCCCAGTTAGACTCCTGTGATAAAGACCAGGAGGCTCTGGACACTGGCGGGGTTTCCCACATACCTCACAGCCCTCAGCTTTCCCCTCAGTGTGCCCCTCAGCCAGCTCCTGAGGGAAAGACATCTCACATGCCCAGCTCTCCTCTGGTATCATCCCCGAACAGCTTCCACCATTATTTAAAATCAATTTTGAAACATGTCCTGAGTGCAAATTAATTGTTGCTCCTAAGTCAGTTCTTTCGAAATTTGATGCTTTGCTGTTGGTGAGGGCAACATGCCACAGATGTGTACTCTGGTTTTCTGGGTTGTTCTCAGGCAGGCCACCTATAGTCTGGACATCTAAAATGAGAAGAAAACAACGATATCTACAAACAACGAAACACTTCCTGTGACTGCGAATTAAAAATAAAGACACTTCTTTCTTAGATTAGTGCAGACAAGACTTTAAAAAGAATTGATTTAAATGAGTTTTCTTCTTAATAGGTAATACTATGTTGTTGTTTTTTTCTTTTTGAATTTCCACAAAAGAAAGTGAAATGCTAACTGAAAATCGCCCTCCTAAACGGTGAGCCCCCCCGTCTACAGCTCTCAGATCCACAGGAGAAACAAAGTTTCTCCCCCAGGTAACACTCCACACCTTTTCCAGGTGAGCAGCGGCTGAGTCCTGCTCAGCTTCTCGGCGGCTGACATTTGGTTCACAGGCACGTCCCGGATGTCTCTGCAGGCCCCTAGGCGCTGCCCAGGCAGACCCCTACTGCTTCCCATCAGAGTGAGGGAGTCCCTCGCTGGGCCCTTCCGTGGTGATGCACCCTCTAGTCCCACAGGCACCTGCACATACCAGTCAGGTTTTCCAAGGTAAGCTCTAGCCAGGCAAACTCTTCACACATTAATCTCCTGTGGGCCATTATTAAACGAATACCCGTATTGCTACCTCTCACTAGGTTTAAACTTTTGTTGTGGCTCTTCTTTCACTACTTAACAATTATATTTATTTTCTCCCCCAACAAACTTAAGCTCTCTCCCGAGGGAAAAAAAAAAAAAGATAAAATAATTCATTTACAGTTGATATCAGCAGAAGCACAGCAGCGAGCAGTGTTGAAAGCCTCCCAACTAACAGGCTGAAAGTAGAAACAAACGTGGGCACAAAGGGCTGGAGCAGACCGTCGGGGAGCGTGGAGGCGTGGGGGCAACTTGGAGTCTGAGGCAGGGGCTGGCCAGACGCAGCATGTGAGGACAGGTTGCGTCTGGCTTTTGGCTAGGTCTGAGAACATGTACAGGCATTAAGAAAAAAGAGGGAGAGGGCCTCCCTGGTGGCCTGGGGGTAAGCCTGTGCTGAGCTCAGTCTGCAGCCAGGAAGTGACCCACGGTGCAGCGGGCCCTCCTGTCTCCCGGAGCTCCCTCAGCAGTGGATTTTGGTGGATCTGCCTGGTCTGCTCCCCACTCTGTCTCTGGGGAGTCCTCTCACCCACCATCCCCACACCTCTGACCTGTACCCCAGTTATTCTATGAAAACATAATTTAAAATTTTTTTAAAGCTTGAGAAGAGGGAGCAATTTATGAAAGGAAGCCCCTGCTGGAGAGTGAGTCATGGTGGGCCTGACAGCACGGACTAACTGCCAAGGGGCTGGCCCTCGCGGAAAACGGCGACAGACGCTCACGAGGATCATGCAGCTGGGCTGCTCTCCACAGCCCATGTGCAGACTGACCTGAAAGGCTCTGGTTTGGGGGTGCTCCCACAGTCCATGGCTCCGCTCCTGCCTCCAACCTGACGATCACCTCAGGTTTAGCAACACAATGCCCTGGTGATGAGAAATAACTGCCTGAGATCCAGCTGCCAAAGCCTCGTGGCCGCTGAGGTTGGCAACAAAAAGAGCTTTGACGGTTGTAAAACCAAGAGCCAGTTGGAACCTCTTAAAGAGAGGGCTGAACAGTCGCGTTTCTTGGCCTGGAATCTTAAGTCTGCAACGCCTTTAATTACACATGGAGGTGCCCATTTGCCAGGCAAGAGTACAGCGTTTGCCGTTAACGGGCCGTTTGGCTCACCCAGTGACGCCAGGCTCCCGTAGGTCTCCAGCATCACGTCCCGGTAGAGGGTCCTCTGAGCGTCGTCCAGGAACTGCCACTCCTCCCAGGTGAAGCTCACGGCCACGTCCTCAAAGGTCACCATCTCCTGCAGTGGCACATTTCCTATCAATTCAAGGCACCCAGTCAGAAGGACTGGGTGTCGTGGACTTTACTGTCGGTGAACTCGACATTGTACAGCATGCACTGTGCTCTGTCTGTTTGAGATGAGCAGCTGTCACCGCTTGCCAGCCCTCGCATCTACTGTCCCAAGAAGCACTACTACAGTTCTACTGACAATCTGCAACGGTCTTCGCAGCTAACAGTAACGGAAAGCATAGCAGTCTGCTCCTCACAGGTCTGGAGACCTGGTTTGGAGATGCAGGGTAACAGGTCACAGAAGCCACACTAGAATGCATTGTCTGCAGGGGGGGACCGCCAAGGGGAACTCGGCCATCGCGCGCTGCTGACTGCACTGCACGGAAGCCCCAAAGATGCCCAGTTCCTCTCTTCAGCTACATGTTGTCACGAATGCGGCAACAGCAGAAGTCAAGGGGTGAGGAAACAGACAGCAGCTGACACATAAGGAACACGCTTCCCGGGGGCTCCCGCTGTGCAGGCCATAAAGGCAATTGCACTCAAGGGCCATCTGTGAGGTTCCGGGCGCCCACAGATGCCCCCCACCTGCTGCCACAAGTCATGCCATGTTCTGTTGCACCCGACAACAGGCATGCACACTCGCCTGATGGTCACACAGGGAAGCCGGCCCGCGTCCTACACCACGGGACAGTGAGGGGCAGGCGCAGAGGTCAGCCACATGGTCAGATTTGCCTGTGCAGTGATCCCCTAGAGAAGGCTGAGGAAAGGCATAAACGAGAGAAGCCAGGGAGTGAGCACGACCCACTCTGAGGTACGAGAGCAAGAGAACATGCAACAGGAAACTAACCCTAGCACAGAAGGAAAGACACCCACAAGAGCTCACTGCTAGAGGTGAGCGGGAGTCTCACTACCAGCAGCTGCATGACAGGCTGGGTGGGCAGTGCCCACAGAACTGGGAGAAGGACAAAGAATTCGGCGGCCAGAAGTGAGATCTCGAGCCTACATGTCTGAAGCTTCTGTGGTCAAGCCCGAGAGAAAGGCCCGCTGCCGAGTGGAGCCGGGCTCTGCAAAGCAGGGGAGGCCTCTGCCGGCTGCAGCCAAGGCTGGGAGCGTCACTAGGCCAGAGGAACTGAAGCCATCAGCGAATGAAATGGCTGGGGACACCTCAGATACTTACAGGACAAAAGCGACAAGTGGACATTTGGAAGAAACACTCACATTTACAGAAACAGGGGGAGTTGCTCTGCGCCTCTGGGTCCTACGACCACCTCCTCCTGGGCGGGGCCAGCCCATCCCAAGACACTTCAGGGTGGTGTGACCAGAGGTGTCTGGATGGGGCACCACGCCTGCTTTTCACTGGCAGCCCTGCCTCGTACATACCATCAGTAAAGCATACTGGACCAGCCACGAGAAGAAAAAGAAACAAACAGACCATGACAATAGAGAATTTTTTTTAAAGATTATGCTGGAAATAAGAACGTTTCAGTATTAAGATAATATTCTTATTTCTGTGAAGAAAATCCCAACGCCATCCACGTAGGTATTGAGTAGGAATCCATAGAGATACCTTCCCTCAGGCCTCCCTGGTGGCACAGGGGTTAAGCCTCGCACTATCGAGCTATCTTCAGCCACTGTGGCCAGGGATCTGATCAGGTCAGGGAGTGACCCACAGGGCACAGCAGGCCTCTCCTGTCTCCTCGCTGCTCCCCTCAGAGTGGATTTCAGTAGATCTGCCTCTCTGCTCCACACTCTGTCTGGGGAACCCTGTCACCTGGCCTGTACCCCAGTACTTGTATACATAAATAAATAAAAATAAATCTTAAAAATATATACTCTATTAAAAAAATATATCTTCCCATCATGACTCAAATGTGAATCTCCAGGGTGTTCACTTTTTTTAAAGACTTATTTATTTGTGCATAAAAGAACTGGGTGTAGACCCAAGTGTGGAGGAGAATAGGTTCACAAGAGGCAGAGCAGAGAGAATAGACGGATTGACTTACACACGCCACTGAGGAGAGCAATGGGTGGTGCAGGAGACATCTGCTGTGCCTTGTGGGTCAGCTCCCTCGCTGGGGCTCAGGAGTTGAACTCAGACTAGCAGTGACAGTACTGAGACTTAACCCCTATGCCACCAGGGAGGCCCATTCTTAACACAGGTAAATGAATGCTTAACCAAAAGTGAAAGCCATCATATTTTCTCTTTTTTTTTTTTTTCTGATTTAACAGAAATAATCTATTAACAATAAAGGTTCATTGGCTCAGACAGCACAGTAAAGGCTTTACCTGACTTCAGGCAGAAAATTCTTTTATTGTCCTATTTGGGAAAAAATAATCGAAACCAAAAGACGTTGAAGGAATTTTTGAAAAATCAATTTATGCCCACTGAAGGAGAAGGACATCAGAAATCTAGTCAGCTGTAGTACATCCAGTATTTGTCAAAGGCCATTATTTAAAAAAACAGCACTTAATTCTTAGTTTAGCAAGTGGAATGTGATAAGATTAACTAAAACATGAAGGCTAATGTTTTTAGTAGTCTAGTTGTATTAGAACAGTCTCATATCCATGACTTACCTACATGCTATCACATTAAAAAGATATTAAGTTATAAGGGATTATAGAAACAACCCTTAGAACTCTTGTCTAGACCAACATTTTCTTCTCAAAATAAAAGAAACTGAATTCTGTGGACATTGGAAAAACTTCCTCAGAATCCAGGTACCAAACGCATAAGAAAGGAAACAATTGATAAAATCACAGTAACTTAAAAAATTATACAGATTTTTTTTAATATTTATTTTTATTTATTTATTTTGCCATAGAACTGGGGTATAGGTCAGAGGTACAGGTTGGGGAAGAGGTGGTGAAAGGATTCACCAGAGTCAGTGGGGAGCAGAACAGGTGGAGCTACTGAAATCCACTGCAGAGGGGAGCAGGGGAGACAGGAGAGGTCTGCTGCGCCATGTGGGTCACTCCCTGGCCGGGATAGAACTCAGGCCCTGTTGGTGACAGCAGCCCCGAGTGTTAACACGTAGGCCTCCAGGGAGGCCCCAGGTGCTATTTGGGTCTTCAGTAATTTCCGCAAGTTCAGATAATTGAAATGAAATCTAAAAAATCAGAAACAAAACTTTTAGAAATTTTGTAGGCAAAAATAAAAATTTAGATGAAGTGAGGAAATTTATTTTTCCCAGATGCTTAATGACAACACACCTGACCCTTAGTTTTACAGAAAAGATGCACATAATGTACATTTTTGGTGCTGTATTGTGGCAGTAAAGGTTCCCACAGACTTGTTACCTTACCAAATCCTCCCGATTTGGCCTTTGTCATTTAACTTGCTTTGGCCATAAGGAAAACAGCATACGCGATGCAGGAGTTAAAAGTAATTCTCATCGGATATTACCTACTTGGAACACTGTGTCCCAGGGGAACCCAGGCTAACCCCTGGGTTAGCCTGACCACTGCACACGGCTTGCTTTGACAATAACCAAAACAAACCACCAGAAAGGTAAATGATGTCATGTTAAACCAAGCACCCTCAGTCAACACACACTGCATGACGACAGGCTCATGTGTGATCCAGGCAACACCAGTATATACTGAGTACATCAACCCCGGACTGTAGAACCCTAAAATTTCAGCAAATAAAATAGGTGTCTGCACACCTTTCTTTGAAATCCAGGTTTTAGGTTGGTTCGCCAGACAACAAAGCTAGCTGATCTATCTAAACCCCAAGCATCACAGCCACATGCAGAACTTCAGAAAAGCACAGGAATGTAACTGGTTGCCACAGGTCACTGGATAGGAGGACCGTGCATCTCATAAAGCAATTGCCTGTACATCAGAACAAGACGCTTTCAGTGTTTCCAATCATAAATGCATCTATGCACGTTGCACAGGGCTTTCTTCCCATTTTGAGAAATCGGTTAGCCGTGACAGTCTAATTTTCCTGTTAGAGAACAGTCTCACTTGATTGGAAGAAAACTCTACATTCAGTGGAAATCCTTGCATCACGAACCTCGTTTAATGGGTAACGAAATGAGAGAATGCACGGACAGGCCTTCCCCAGACCTGGCCAGTGGCCCCGAAATTCCAACCACCACTCGGCGCCGCCCAGGGCCAGGGCTCACACCGGCACCCGCGCGCTGCACCCCGACACCCCGCTCCCTCACGCCTATTGTCCTCTTTGCCTGCAGGCGCCCTCCTTTGCCCCCCAAGGAGGCACCCGCTACGCCCCACACCCACGCCTGCACAGCACTTCCGCTCCCTCCCCGACTGTGTCTCAGGGTCGGGGTTCCCCCTTCACTCCGACCCGCACTCAGGTCCCTGGCCATCTTCCCGCTCCCTACCGCCCCGTCTCTGCCCGTCCCCGGCCGCTCCTTCACAGTCTCCCCTGACGAGACCTTCAGAAGCGACCAAGCCAAGTGCAGCAGCGGAGAACCTCCGGCTGCAACGGAAGTGGACGGACGAGAAAGAGTGCAGCGCCGGGGTGCGCCTGCGCAGAAAGCACTTGCGGGAACCGCCATTACCTCGGGGACTACATTTCCCACAAGCCCCCTGCGCACGTCCATCATTCGCCAGAAAACAGGTTTCGTTTATTGCTGGTGATCCGCGTTGACCCAAGACCTGAAGTGATGTTGGTGGGGGGGATAGTTGGGCGGATCCAATTGGGAAATATGAAAGTGAATGATTAAAATCCGGAAACAGCTTCTGTTCGGAGCGGAGGACAGTGCCTCAGGCTCCATCTTGCCCTCCCCCTGTCCCTGACCGCGCAAGAAAACAGCTCCTGAAAGCAGGGAGTTGAAGAAAACTCCCGTTTCAGAGTTTGTATATGCTGTGGCCTGATATGAGTATGGATGAAGTTTCTGTGGGTGAACTTGGAGCTTCAGCATTAGCCAGTAGGCAGGCCCTCATTCTAATTTGATACCTGTAAACTTTAAATCGTGATTGCCCCCAAAAGATCTCATCCGCTATGTTATCCGTTTGACCCAAATTCCAACCTTCAGGGCCTGAAGGGAAAGTTCATGAAAAGACTCGGTAAGTTCCGTTGGGGTGGGCAGAGCTGAGCCCATCTCTCCCCAGACCCCTCCAGTGAACGTCCAGCAGATTTGGGTAAGGGCAGCGGAGTGCGATCCTAAATAAGATACTTAGCACAGATCAAAATGACAGGAGCGCCCCATGTGACACCAATGTTGGACCAATATCCCAAGCAACACCATCCTGGATGTATGTGCTTT